TTCATGACCATCCTGGACGGAGAGGTGATAGGCCAGGATGAGGCAAGAAGAGATGAGTGAGTGATAGAGTGACCAAAGGGAGCGGGAAGAGAGGAAGCCTGGCACTGGCTTAAAATCAAACACATATTTATTGAAATTGTTCGGAAACAAGACTTGGCACCCACCCGGAACGGGCGACCAATTAAGAATAAACACAAACTTTCCCCGGCATTTGTTGCCTTCTAGCTGGGAGGACCAATCTTGAAATAGGGTGACCGGACTATCGATTTACTCTACTATCAACCTCAAGGGAGCTTGCCAAACTTTTGACTTAATAACCCCCGCCACCCCCCTCCCTCCCACAAACCGTTAAATTCATACCCAAGTGCTAAAAAAGAGAACCAAAAGGCGCCCTCTTTTGGGAAGGTTGTTGAAAGGGCACATCCCGCCGAAAAGCATGACTTGCTCTTCACCCCTGAGCCACAGGCCGATCACCATTTGTAGGTTTAATGGAAAACACAATTTGTTTCCAAAGGTATACGGCGCGACTCGGTCGCACCAAACACCAGTCAGGAAAAAGCAAACCATAAAAACACGGAAAACCCAGTTGGCTTCTATTTGGGGCGTGTATGTTTTGAAGGGACCCGCCCACCCGGAACACAACAACAGCAGGAACATAGACCTTACAAATGGCTCTCTCGTCATTCGCGCCTGGACATCCTGCTGGTCGTAGGCCTCAAACAAGTGGGGCGCCAAGTCCGCAAGCTTCCGGTGCAGGCTGCTCGGGTCCAGGACCCCCTGATTGCCTCAGAACCGTGGAAAACCACTGTGAGAGCTGCGCCACTTGGAGACCATGGGAAAAAACGTTGGTTGGTACTTGAAGGGGAATCATCATGGGTTTCTTGGGTGGTGCGAAATGGATGTTGTCCATCCACAGTAGCGATTTGTGATTGTTTCCAAGTGAAAGCCGAATCGTGGAAAATCCATGTGATACCAACCATGACGTACCACATTTGACTTGCAAGGGGGATGCCCTTGGTACAGAAAGCGGCAACAAGTTCCCCTGCAAACACGCGCGTGGGTCGATGCGAATAAGGCGGCTGAGCAGCCGGGAAACCAAATATCCTTCTGCAAGTCTGCGAAGGCCTTCCTGAGAGATAGACGAAAAGCAGGTCAGACATGCAAATGTTGCCATCCATTACGAAGCATGGATCACCAATCCCCTCACAACACCCACTTGCTTCGGTAAGTATTCTGAAAATCAAGGCTTTCCATGGTAAATACGGTGAACCTTTTTTGTTGGAGCAAGTAGAAGTGAGACTGGACTGTTCAAGTGGAGATCCCAAACCCGAAGGCGCCAGCATCCGGCGGCCAGCTTGACTTGAACCCAGCTTGCACTTTGGTGTTCCACCCAAAAAAAATATCGGTTTCACCCGCCAACATGGGCTGTTTCCGTCAATAAGAAAAACACTTCAGGTGAAAAACGACAAAAAACAAAACCCCCCGCCGGGAGACGGACCTCCTATTTTCGGAGTTTTTTTCATCGGAGGCGCGCCAGGCCGCGGTGGTGGGGGTTCAGCTCTTCGAGCACCTGACCCGACAAGCAGAACTCCACCAGCGGCTCCAGGTGGCCTTCGATCGAGTGGTTTGAGGTCCGCTTGTGACACGCTCCCTGCGTGGTGTTGGTCTCTCTTTCAACATGGTTTCAACAGGAAACCGAAAGGAACTCCACCTTCATCTTCTCATTTTTTTGGGGGGGGAAGGGGGGGGCAACAAGGATAGACACACCCGTATTTCTGGAAGACATGGCACCACTAGGAGTCTGGGTTCCACTTGCTGGCAAACTTGATAAATTTAAAGCGGTAGGCTTTGGGAAGCCAAACGGCAATCAGCCCTTCATACTCGGCAACGTGTGGTGTCCTTGTGGGAAAATAAACAATTGTCCGGCCGTTTCGCACCCAGAGGATCAAATAAGGGGTCTTGTTTTACCTCCCAAACGGTGAGCCAGAAACTTAACAGGCAGACATTCTCCTGTTAAAGGACCCAAGAAAATGTATCCTTCAAATCCGTGGCCAGGAACAGTTTAAACCTTTGGGGCCTACTTTAAAGTAGTCTTCCTGGGGGTGCCCGAAAAGGCTTAACAAGGCTGGACTTGAGAAGTGAGCAAAGGGTAAGTGCCAATCACGGATGAGCCATGAGGCGAAGGGGGAACCCCTCATCCATCGCTAACACAAACACAAGCAACAACCATCGTTGATCTCAGATGCCCATCGAAGGGTCTGCCTGTTTCCCGTGCTTTCCGACAGACCGTATGCTCCATATAAAGCGCAAAACAAACGCCCTGGGTCCCCGGTCCCCCAAAAGGGGGCGTTGCCAACCATAGGGTTGAACCTGGTAAAATTGACTGACCTTTGACTTTGGAACCTTTGGCATGTTTGAACTTTGATCTCGCCAGAATGGGTTTCTGAAAATGGCTGAATTCTGGCAAAAGCGTACTTGCACATTCCATTCTGAGAATGGGTTTCTCTCTAGCTGACACTGTTGGGCACATTGCCTTTTCACTGGCCTGTTCTGGACAAGTCCTCTTTGTATGTATAGACCGCGTGCGAATCATGAGGCCAAAGCGTGCGTCGCAAAACCAGTCCAGCCCAAACAAGAATAGCCAGCCTAAACAAATGGCAAATCATGCCATTTGGCCGATGTGTGTTGCCTGCCATTGTTCGAACATGTGCAGAAGACAGTTGAAGCAACACCTCTCCAAGGCCAGCTGTAGGAAAAGTCTAGCTTTTCAACAGTTGCAGTCCAAAGATCCTGGTGTGGCCGAAAACCAAGGGGGCCCCAAGCTTGGAACCCTGACAAAGGTAAACGTAAGCTGAAACCTGCGGTCACTGGTCCGCTGGCTCTGCCGAGCGGCTTAGGCACTGCAAGCCCGCAGCCATAAAGCAGCTGTTGCCCAGGTTCCTTGCAATTCATCCGACCCCAAAGGGGCGAAACTCGAGGAACAGCCCCGTGGATTTCCGCAGGGACAACTCGGCCAGTTTTTGTTTGGTGATTCTTGCTGAGAATCCCCCCTCCCAAAAAAGGAAGCAACACACTGGAAGTCTGGGCTTTTCGGGTGTGGGGAAACAACGGGAAACCAAGCAAATATAATTAAATCAATATTTTTATACTCACATATACAAATATACACATATTATCTGTATACGTATTTTAAACATAGACGTATGAATGCTTTTTGCTTCTCTCTTTCTCTCTAGTTCAATCCCGCTTGGGGCGTTGCTCCTTTGACACAAACCCAAAACCTGCTTTCTGTTCGCCAACCACTTTGTGGACCAAAGGACTTGGGAAAACGAGCAGGGGCCTGTTTGGTTTCCACTTGGAACATTGCCGCAAAAGGAAACTCACCCTGGAATCGGAACAGGAGATGTTTCTGAAATTGGACATGAAGGAAAGCCAAAAAACGCAAACATATAGAACCCGCAAATGTGGACTGCCAGCAAAAACCACATCAACTGAGGCAGGCCTCCCAAGGAACTGGTTCGGACTTGGTTTGTGCCCGACACACCTCCAAGTGAGTAACGGTTCTGGTTCAACACCTTTAGGTGAGGATTGCTTGCGTTAACAATCATGAAGGCTCACTTGGGGGAATTTGGACCATACGCCGAAAGCTTTGCTTTAAGACCCAAAACATCCACTCCGATGACCACGTTGGACAGGTCGAAGTAGATCCACGAAAGAACGGTTCAAACCATCTGTTTACGACTAATATATCTTCCGCAAAAGCTTCAAGTCCAGGAATCAGGGACAAAGGTTCCTTGAAATTGCCACTTTTGGAGGTCCCCCCCAAAAAAAAGAGACCCCGCCCGAGGCAGTGAGATCCCACACTGGCAGCAACCCGGCTCCAAGGCTCTTCAGTCCCACCTGGCCAGGTCGGGTTGCAGCCTCGCTGAAGAAGAACTTCATCATTGCGACCCGTGGGCCGGTCGCGGCCGACCGGCCGACGCGGGAGCCCGTGCAAAGCGTGCGCCGGTGGGAATTCAGTCGGGCACCGCTCGGTTTCAGACATTCCTGCGTGCAAACTAACAAAACTGGCTTGAACCAAATGGACCTAAGAAAACGAAAAAGCTACAGCTTTTCCGTAGAACCAAAAGGCAAATGGAAACCCAAAACTGGTCTCAACAATATCGTTTCACTGGCAAAACCCAGCCCCCTTCAGGCTGCAGGGCTCTACGTTTGGAGGACCCTCATGCTCTGCAAGCCACTGGTGTCACAGAGGTCAGGTTGCAAAATGCTTGGAACCCGGTGCGTAGCTTTGAAGGAAGGCCAAAGCAAGCCGCATTTTGTGCTGAATTTCTTGTGTGGCCCTGCGCCATGGGTCCCTAGAGGATCCCGCAGAAAACCGCGTAAAACCGGGGAAGAAACCGGGAAAAGCCGGCTGGATGGAGTTGGTCATTGGAACATGCACCTGGCCTCGCAATAAACTCCATGCATCCGCAGCTCCGATCGCCGCGCTTCCGTGCTGAGCCAGATCGCAGCGAACACTGCGTCAACCGAAACCAGTCTGGGTGAATACTCGCAGGCTTGCACCATACAGGGTGAAAGTAGATAGAACAATTCCTTTTTTGGGGGGTTTCCCCCATAGTCATCCAATGTCATCCACAAATTGCGCCATCCACTTTCAGCCTGGTGAAAGTAATGTGTGCGTAGAAGGTGTTGCCCAGCATGCTGAATCCAAGCGCATCGGAAATTGCCCTCAGTATTCTCAGGGAAAGTGAGGAACCTGTGTAAAACCGCAATTCAACTAACCGATGTTTCCACTATATCCGCAATATAGCCCCTCTAAAACCCTTGTACTTGTTTCAGCAATATATCACCACAATACCACCGCTGTATAACCACAACATATTGCCACCGTGCATAACCGCTACTGTATATGACCGCCATATAATCATGTGAAGGGTGTCTATTGTCTATCCACTTCTCGCTTTTGGAGGGGTGGTCGTGGAACAGTGCCACGGAGCCTCCTCGCCGGGCGTATGACCCAATACGATCATCTCAATGTCAGGCAAGAGGTCAAGCACCTCCGGCAGGGTTCCTCATACTTGGTCAATGTTCAAACAAAAAATGGAACTTGTGGAAAATTACCCCAAATCTGAAAGTGTTCTTAATGTTTGCAGCTTTGCAAGGCCTGGAGCAGCTTGCAAATCGGATTTATGTCTGCGCAAAGCTTTGCGAGGCCTGGAGCAGCTTGCAGGGAGGGCTCCAGAGTTCCAGGGCGTTCCGCTGTTTGGGATACACGGGCTCGTCTTCTTTGCTCACCACTTTAAAGGGCAATGTAAGACGATACCAAACGTTGACCCATATCAGGGTTGCTGGTCCCTGTGAGGGAAAACTCATTAAATTACGACTAGGTGTGCTTGTGTTGCCTAATGGTTGCTTACCACCACACAAGGAGTCCGGACAAATAAAACAACTATTCCCATGACTACTGTATCACTTTGAAAGGAATTGCCCTTGATATCACACAAAATGAGTGGTCCTGCTGACATCTCCAAGGAGAGTTCTACAAACGGGTCACAACCTTGCTGTTCTTTTGGGCCGCACTCGTTTCTCATTGCCCATGTTCCCAAACACAGCCAGTAAATCAAAGCCCAAGCCCCGGTTGCTATAGTTGATCTTAAAGGGAGCCTCCCTCCAAAAGAAGGAAACAAGGGAGGCAACCTACTGAACCTACTGCGTGCACTGAGAATCAAAGACGCTCGCCTTGTCGACTTCGCTGCAACCAGCGGCCCCATGAAGGCCCCGATAAGTGACCGCCTGACACTCATTTGAGCTGCAGAATCTGAGCCCTCAAAGGATGGAATGGGCAATGGCCCAAGGCCCGACCACCAATCATCAATCAAGAGACCCGGGTCATTGCCCACCTAAAAAAGGCCGTTGGACTCGAGCTCATGAATCAGGAAGCTAACTTTCTTGGGGGTCTTTCATTTCTGCATCCCCCGGCCACGGCCCTTCGTGCAGTCAGATATCACAGCAAAGGTCTTCACCCTTTGCCCACTTCCATGATGCTTGGACGAAAGACGAAAGCAAACAACAGCAACCACAAAAACGGCTTCCCAAAAAAGGTACAGACAGCCCTTTAAAGAAGGCAAGGTCTTGTTTTTCAAAAGGGGGCTGCGTACAGTGTTTCGTTGGGATCCAACGTGTATGCAAATCACGGCCTGTGGCTTTGAACAAATGAGCACAGGTACCATTATTCTCTTAAGCTGCCCCACGGCCCCGGTCGAGTTGATGTCTTTACTTGGTCAACCTTCAACCCTCAAACCTATCTAAACTGTCTTCATGTCGTTTGCAAAATGCTGCCAACCGCTGTGCCAAATGAGTCATAATCAAAACTCGGTATTAAAACGCTCTACCCAGAACCATGTAAAGAATTAAGAAAGCGGCCGCAGCTATTTATGGTTGGGACTGTCCCTTACTAACCTTCATCTACCCGGGTTTTGATTGTGGGTCAAATAGGGATTCACTCCCTGAGCAGGTCTCGCCTCGTGCAGCAGGTCCAATCGCCCTGGCAACCAGTAACGCTAAGATTCGCAAGAACAACCGAAAGTAAGCCAGCCACAAATCTTTCAGTGGGAAAGTAGATTGTGAAACTCCAACTCATTTGGTCCCTCCTCCTCTACTTAGTCCTGCGCACGCAAATGGTGTACGTTCACCCTGGATCTGGCAGATGTAGGCAAACGAACTCTGGGCAACATTTTCAAACTCACAAACTGCAAACTGCGGAATCAAAGGTTCATCCATCGCGGGTTAATTGACACGTCCAGCTGCTAAAATAATATGCGCCAAAATGACTCCGCTTTGCCCATTACATTGCTATGACGCTGCAATTCGTTTGGTGGACCTGTTGAACCTCAAATTTGGGGTACACAGCAAGTCTGTGCAAATTATGTTTCATAGTGCTTAACATATACACTCGTTGTGGAGGAGAGCCCAGTGTCAAAGCAGGGCCTCAAAATCTGGCTTTCAATTCAGTATGGTTTCCCTATATATAAACCAAGCCCAAAAGGGTCAATCAAACAAAAACACCCCATACGGCCCATACGTATTACTCTCCAGATCGATATGGAACTTAAAGAAAAACACTCAATTGTCGCAGGAGTCTTCATTCTCGTGGCCCCCGTTTTGTTTCGAGTGAAGGGAAGCGATGGAAAAGGTTGGGACTTGTTGCCGGCCGCAAGCAGTCGGCCTGGTTTGGAGGAAATACACCGAACAAAAATCCTCAAAGGGTACAAATATTGGCCATGATGCAAACATCCTTTGCCACATGTTTCGAGGGTTTCCCGCATTTGCCAGGTGAATATGAGGTCTATCCAAGGAACCCTCTGCCAGTCGCGATCACAAACTAAAGGAGTCTCCCCAAAACATGGGCAATCGGCGAATAAATCGCATGAATGGCAAAGAGTCTGTCCCTTGCAAACCGTCGTTTACCAGGGTGTTGATTCTGGCTCGCGGCTTATAAGGGCTGAGCTAGCCTGGTTCATGCAAATAAAGGATTTTATTTTCCAGGGCTCCCGATAGCTCTCTGTTAACATCACCCCACTTGAACGAAACTTATTTCAAACTAACACGTCCAGCAGGCAATGGTTATAGAAATAGCACCAACATTATAGCTTACTTCCTGGGCGGACCGGTGAAAACAACGCCGTTGTTCTTCTCTACCACTAAGCTTATCGTCCAAAAAAGTGTTAAATTCCATGAGCTCACGGAGTAAGATAATTCAACCCCTTTCAACAAGGGCCTGGCCCGACACTGCCAGTCAGCCTCCCTATGTTTAAGGGGGACGAGTGCCCGAAGTTTTCCTCGTGGTTTCCTGTGCTTAGTCACCGGGCCTGAAGAGAAGAGCTCGCTGAAGTCACCGTCCCCTGGGCAGCAAGGCGTGCAGGCTGCGTCCAAGGTATGCCGGGTTTCAGGGTTCCTTACACTAGGCTGCCCGATTTCTGATCCCCCGCTAAAAGTTTTTCTTTTAGTGGGTTGAATGGAAACTACCATGCACTAAACACCACAAGGCTAAAAAGCAAAGGGGATGGCTGGGAGCCACCAAGTACAGGATAGGTCAGCAGGACAATGCTTTTGTTCAACTGGCTAAAATGTATCCTTTACGCGACCCTGTCAGAGAATGACCCGAGCTAAATAGTAGGTTGACGGGAAACAACCGGCGACCCAATAGAAGCTTTCACCACCACACCCTCAAAATACACCCAATTTAAGTGATCCGGACCCATGACAATTGCTACCATTGTTGGAAGTGATACGTACATAGCTAAGTCCAGTGTTTGCCATATTTGTGGATCATGAAAATAAGCTTGCACAACCTCCTTGCAGTAGGAAGCGCAAATACAAAACTGGGCTGTCCTCAGATCCCCTGCTAAAAGTTTGACTGTTAGTGGATTAACTGAACACTACCACGAAACCCTAAAGACCTAACGGGATGGCTGGGGACCACCAAGAAAAGTCAAGGCCCAGTAGGAAATCATCAACAGAGGCGGCCTAGCGGCCTAGCGGCCCGAGCATGTCCAGCTGCTCCCGCGTGGTTTTGCCAGGCAGGCCGCCGTGCACAAAGAGCGCTCCTGGGCCCAGTGGACCATTTGCACCCAAAACTTCCATTTGGTTAAGACCCCTGGGAAAAATAAACATTTGTCCAGTAGTGACAGATTCCCTTTAAAACGAAAATCTTAAGCAAATTGAAGAAAATTGGCTAGAGTTCGAAACACTACACGGACTCCACATAGCTGGCAATTTACTTTACGGGAACTCTCAGGAATCCAAGTAAGACCACGGCCTTAACTAAAGACTGGATCAAATTAACACCAACTGGTCACAAGCTGGATTATTTCTCCCAGACCCAGTGCACTCTTGTCGGTACTTGATTTTAACGGGAACCCCTCCCCAACCAAGGTGAACGAAGGAAGCAACCCAGTGGATGTCAGGTTAGGACATTCCCTTACGCTTCTGACCCTTACAAAATTGGGTCATTACCCTAAACAATGGGGTCATGGACCCAAATGTTAAAGGGGACATGGAGACTCCAGGTACCTAGTTCGCTATTTTTGGCCCACAGCCCACTGTCGCCAAAAAGGGCCTGCGAGTTCCACGGCAAATGGACGTTCCGCCAGCCACCGCGCCAGGCCCGAATCTCGCATGCCTGCGTCCGTCATGGCAAAAGTATGGCGCCGTTTTGGACCCCGGCACCTGAGGAAAAGAGGATACCGAAAATGGGTCCCAACTTGAAGTTCAAACAGGATGAAACACGCTGGCCATGATGTAAGCCTGCATGAGCTTCTGATTGAATTTGAATCCCAAAAAGTGTTTTGCTCATGTTTTCCGAGGTTCTGAATGCTTTTGGCAGCCTTGTAGCGTTGCGTGCTCCAACATGGGCGTAACCGGGGTATCGACTTTCCCGTTGGCTCGCCATGGCCATTGAAACCGGTTTCGGGCAAAAGGCATCCGGATCTTTCTCGCACTTTCCGAGCTATCAGGGTAACAGGCGCTGCCCTAACTTGCTATTGCTCAGTAGGCGTTGGGAATGCAATTAGGGGTCCCAAGGAAGCCAAGGAGATGGAGAGGGGTCATTCCAGTTCCCATTGAACCGATCGCAAAGTCTCCCGAAGGGCGACAAACAAACCGAAGGCTTCGCCTCGCGCGAGCCGGCGCTGCCAGAAGTGCAGGCTTTGGTTCAGGGCATTCGACAGCGTGGCGTTGTGCCGCAAGGGCGCAAAGTCCTAAAGCAATCGGTGGCCGAAGGCACCGGCAACTTACTTACAACGACTGAAACAAACCCAAACCTGAAAAGGGCAACATTCAGCAAGAGAGGGTGGGTATGTTGAAGGGTGCCCATGTAGTTGTAGGAACTCTAAGCTTAACTGCCCACTTCTTCACCACCCGCGTGGATTGGCTTGACAAAGTGCAAACTTTGTGTAAAGCCACTCACGTGGTCTTCCCAACGCGTTTAAAATCCGGGAAAACAGGAAGTGAGAGTATTTTCAAGGAGTGAAGTGCCAAGTTGAGAAAAGTGATTGAATATTGAACCCCTTTCTCACAAGCGACATCCGTGGTGGCTGCTACCAAGCGTGGGGTGACTGGGGAGCTTTCATTAATCAAACCATGAGGGGCCTTGGTGAGCTCGTTCTGCCCGAAAGCAGCACGTACTGAATGCGCCCAAGCTGCAAAAATACTCATCTGGCCAAATTCTTCTTTCAGCATCACCTGAGATAGCCGTGGTGCGTGCATGCACCTGACTATGCTTGCAAGTGAAAGCTCATGCTCATTATGCAAAAAGAAAGCTGGCACGGGGTTGGGCGCGTCCTTTCTTTGGGGCCTTCCGACTTCTGGGACAAGATTCGCTAGATGTTCACTGAACATTTCCCTGAAACCACAACAGGGATCAACAGGGTTTCCTATGTTGCCCATTTGGTAACACATGCTGGACCCATTTTAAGTGAGTTTCCGTCAAGTGGGGTGATGTTTAAGGTCTACTGTGTCTTATTTTGGCCTTATGTTGGAAATCAGGTGGCCTTATGTTGGAAATCAGGTCCCTTTTTGGGGGAAAGGGAGCGTCAGTCAATGGTGAGTAGTGAGCTGTGCAAAAAATATCTCACAACACGTCAACGCAATACCAATTATTTGCGTTCTGCTACCATGTATTGTTGTAGGGAGTGGGTGGCAAGGGTGCCAGGGGTCTGATTTAGCTCTAGTCAAACTAACTTTGGGGAAGGGGGGCAGTTGGCTAGGGGGTAGTTTGCCATCTCATGATTGGGAGGCACCCCACTTCTTGGTTTCCAAGCAGACCGGGAGGAAGCTGCCTATTGGGATGTCCCAATGCTTGCGCGGCCCAAAAGGAAGCGGGGGATGTGGCTAGCACTTGAGAGTTGAGTGTGGTCCGAACTTAGGGCAACTGGGAGATTTTCTATATTTTAACGAGGAACCACCTCCAAAGTGGTTGGTGGACATGAACCGCCACATAAACGTCCAACAAAGGGTACCTGTTGAATTTCGCACCCAGAAGGAGCTGCGTACTTTTTGCTTGTTGTTCGCAACAGCATTTTTGCAGGTCAGCAAGAAGTATGTTCAGGGCTGTTCTGAATTCAATTTCAGTTTCAAGGTTCGCTAAATGTGGTTGCCAGAGTCTGAAGTGAGTCTGAACGTAACATTGTCACCTTCGGGATGTGACCCGAGCTTGTGTTGGGCTGTCCTTACGCTCAGTTGCTTGTTTTTGTTCCCATTTTGGTCCATTCGTCGTTTTCAAAAGGTTCACCTTCAAGTTTCCCGGTCCGTTGGGTGCGGGTCAGCGTTGTCAAACTGTTTTTCACTTGGCCAGTGGCTTGCGCACACTATCTCTGGTTTTAATATGTTGCTTTCAGGCACCTATCATGTGTTGAAATGCAGCTCGAGTTACAGGCACAGGTCCTCGTTTGCGACGCTGTTGTGCATAGACCTGGCAAAGACCGCAAGCGCTCGCAAGGTGACTGCTATACATGGTGTTCATGCTTGTTGGTTAACTTGGTGGCAATTGCCGCCTGTGCAACGAGCAAACAACTCTTTGCCTGGTGGCAAAATACCTTTTCCCAGATTGGTCATGCAACTAAATTGCAGCGAACATCGGCCATGTCCTTCCAGAACCCCAAGGTTTCATGGCGCCTGAGGTCATGGCCTTTTGTTGGGGTACCCGTTTCAAAGGGACACCAAAAGGAAACCCAAAGGCATTTGTTTCCCTGGCCTCTATGGTTCTGGGGCGGCAATGAGACTGAGCTTGTTTGTGGACAAGCGAATTCAAACCCCTTTAAACATCACCCCGACCAAATTGGCAACTCTATTTAAATGGGCCCGAAAGGTGATATTGCAAGCCACCATTTGCAGGGGAAATAGTGTGGGATATGTGTACGGTTGGGTTAAAGCGAAAGGCACAATTCTCCTATTTTGATCACTCGTCCTCCTCCAAAAAAACTTGCCCACGGAAAGGGACTTGTGCCATCCATTCGGTGTAACTATTGAGCCCCCAATTTCATGTATAGGTTGTGGGTCTTTCATGTACCTCATGCCCGAACATGACGTCTGGCAAAATGGGCAGGTCTAAACAAATATGGGACCCCTCCAAATGGTTGCTTGCAGACGTGCTCTCTGATTTGCATACTAATTGTGACGTTAAGCAACCAAACTCACAAGCACAAAACCGTGAATCTGAATTTAGCACTCAGATTCTTCCCAGACGAGTGGAGCTCCGCGGCAAAGAGTCGAGCTCACGCCTCCCCCAGAGCTGCGAAGAGAGTGGAGAGCTTCGAAGAAGCTTCGGCCTACGTCCCGTCTTGCTCCCCGAGTGGATTGGCCGAAAAAAGCAAACTGTTTGCGTGCCACTCAAACGGTCTTCCCACAAAATACAAACCCAGGAACTCAAGGAGTGAATTTCTGCCAGCTTACCCCAAGATGGCCACAAGGCAACCTGTTGCTTTTTCCCAGCCAAAACTTGAAGAGGGGATTCCCGCTGACTGGAAATCAGGACGGCCCCTCTGGCTAGAGAAAATCGTCCAGTTACCCACAAAAGAAAAACACAAGAATCGCAAGAACAGGGCCCCGACCGAATGAACAGGGTTGGGGTGTAACAGCACCCTAACAACTTGCAACCACACAAACAACACCCGAAAGAAACCAACCAACATGCAAGGGCAATTCCCCAAAGAAGCTGGGTGCAAACTCAGTGTCCACAACATGATCGCCCAACAGTAGAAGCACCAAAAGCCAGTAAGGAGGGAGCCAAGTATTGTGTCCGTTGCTCATACTGACCTCAATAAACGTCTCACACACTTCCAGAGCACACATCTCCAACTTTTACAGCACTTCCGAAAGCTGAACCAAGGGACTGCCAGGTAAGGGACTTGCATCTTGAGCTCGTTTTACCCCCGAATCAATTCGTGAGCTTGCCGTACAGACTGCTTGTTGCGCTCTTCAGCCTGTGGGTGAAACTTACAGGGAGCGGGCTCGGCTAGGAGGCATGTCATGTGATTCGGTGAAAACTATTCATGGTTCATGGTTCGCCTAGTGGGAAATCTTACAAGCTTGGCTAAAGCCCCTGTGAGGTTGAACACCAGCCCCAAGTAAGAACTGGCACACATGACCACCCACAATGGAACTATCAACTACCTGCTTCGTCAATCGAACCAGTTTGGTGTAGCCACTGGGCATTGTGCAAGGCGCATCCTCAAATATTGCAAGGGAACAACCTGTAACTGTCGGAAGCTTACCGTACCGGCTCGGCTGAGACGCAGCCGAGGTCAGGCACTACTACAAGGTGAACCTCTGTTCCTTTTTCCTGTTTCAGCTTCCCTCTAATTTGTGGTTTGGAGCGGAGGTTTGGAGGTGTTGCGGGGTGGGTTGTTCCAATTTGCCCTCCAAATTATCGACCAATCTAAACCTAGGTGGCAAGCAGAGAACAAAACCGTGGACAGCACCGTTGCTCAGTCGGCAGAAAACGTCCAGCCTGCTCACCCGGCAGAATCCAATTCAGATACTCCTCCTAGCAGCAGAGAAACTCCCAGATTGACATGGAAGCGATTGTAGAGGACTCTCCTTAGAAACAACAGGGGCAATCCATCCAACATAAGCTTACGTACTTTCGGTCTGACACGATTGATGGCCAAGGACAAAACATGGGGACTTGCGCAACCGCATCTTCCAAGAAAATTGCCCATTCAAACTCACGGCCATTGGGGTTCGTTGTTTATTCGAGGGTACTCTTGAAACAAGCCCTTGTGGAGGTCCACATGTTGAGATATCCAGGCAACTCAGCGTCTCCAATAGTTGTGTATAGACATGGTTTGCTAACTACATATATAGGCCATCCCAAACCTTAACTTCCCCCTGCAGGCTAGCACTTTTAAGAGAACTCCTCCAGAATTCGGCATCCAAAATAAGGCTACAAGCAGGAAGAAAGTACAAATGAGAGTGACCTCACCTCCCTAAAATGAAGAAACTCCTCTCCAAACTGGAAACTAAACCCTTGAACAACATGGTTCTCCAGATTCGTCCGAGACTAGGGCGGTTCTTGGGGATGGAAAAAAACATAGGGCAAAACTGTTGGAACCTGTTGAGACGCCAGCATTTTCAGATGTCAATTTCTTGCAACGGCGCTTCGCATGGGAAACCGCTATCAAACTGAGCTCCGAGAACCCAACAAGTACTTTGTCACTTTAGACTGGGTTGTCATGATGTGGATGAGGAAAAATGGTGGCTTGTTGGCATCTCGTAAGAGGGAACGGTGTCAAATAAGATTTCTGGACATGGTTTTCAACAAGGATCCATCCCATTTGGGTTTCCCTTCGGGTAAATTGAACATGGGAAATTTAACGCGACCCGGCGATCGTCCTTCGGATCCCTGGTCAACGTTCAACCCTACACCCAGGATTCAAACCTGTTCTTTATTCATCATTTTAGTGCGGGGCAAAAATGCTGCTTACCAAAGATTGACCCAGCCTTTTGGTTCCCCTTTGGGCTTTGGGTAAATTTTCGCACCCTAAAGCCCGGCAACCCGTGTGATCGACCGATCGACCTTCGGGTGTCTCCGGATGGATGAAGGCGTAGCTGAAGTCCTGCACCGGGGCGCCCATGAGATCCCTGGCGCCCTGCGGCAGCACAGCGTCCGCCAGGAAGTAGAGGTCGTGATTGCCTCGAGTGACTGCAGGGGGTGATGCCTTCTTGACACATACATGTCTTTTGCGCAGCGGATCTGAATTCCGGAATTCCAAAACTGAAGCAAGAAGTGGATCGCAAAGTAAGGGAAATACATCATGGAGAGCTTGCCGTGAAGTTGGCAAATGTATCCTCCGCTCTAGCTTAGCTGCGCTGTCAATGGCTCCAAAATGATCGCCAGGCCGCTGCAACGCAGGCGCCTTAGGGGGTTCCTGAAACCCTGCAAAGGGGGTGAAACCCATGGTCCAGAAGCCCAGCAGAATAATACGGGGTGTCTCCCTCAGTGACCCCCTTGTTGGGTTGACAATCTCATCCAACCCATCACAAAGATGGGTGTCAGGGACTGTTGTGGGTGGAATCCACTGAGAAACAGGCTCCGTTCTGTTCCTTTTGATTTCGATTGACATTGAAAAAGGGCACGAGGCTACCCACTGATTTCCATCCAAAATTCCGCATGTGGCGGTAATTACCCCGCTAGGGCTTGGCTTAAGCGGGACCAAAGCTTGAGCCGCCCATGGTGTTCATTTCTCTTCTGGGGGGGGGGTTCAGCCAACCTGGTTGGAACCTTGCGGTGAGCGGGGGGGGGGGGAGGGTTCGAGGGTCTATTGCTTTTCTGACTTCCAACAAGTGCAAAGACTTTGCAAGGCATGGCGCCCATCAAGGCGAAGACCTTCTCGGGGAAGCTGGTGGTCAAGTTTCTCACCAGCTCCAGCACTTGGCGCGAGAAGGGCCCGCGGTCCACCTCGTTTTTTCACTTGGGGCGGTGCCCTGGAAGCCTTAAACGAAGCCCAACAGGTGTCCCATGGGCTTCCGGCCTTGCCTCGACCTCGCTGAACCATCTCCGTTTTCCACGGCGCTCTTGAGCTCGAATTCTTGAGTCACGAAGGTGCAAGGAGCGAAGATCACAGCCAAAGAGAAGCCAACTTCCCAGATCCTTGTGGGGAGCCCTTGTTTGGGTTCCACGCTAATTTGCAGGCTGCTCAAAGGACAAACACAAAGTGGATGATCAAAACGGAAAAGAAAAAAACGGAGCGTGCCTTCTGTGCGAACTGGCGGATGCATTGTCTTCTTCCTTTGCAAAAGAAATGCCGGTCAAAGTTCAACCTGGCAAAATGACATTTTAAAGTCATGACCATTCACCGTCAAAACAAAAAACATCGCGGCAACCAACCCTGTGGAGGTTCACGAGGGCCCAGTGTTCTTGATCTCCCTTGTGCCCAAGGTGGGTATGACTCAAAGTGCCGCCGTGGCTCTAAGAGTTTGAGAGAAACAAGCGCCAGCATCTTGCACCCAGTTGCCCTGTGACCATAGTAGGAAAAGGGAACCGTTTTTATCGGCCATTGTTTTTGGGGAACCAGCAAAAAATTGGGGCTGGCCCCATTACCGCATCAGCAAAGTCATCCTTGAGTGGTAGAATAAATGGAACCCCCATGGTTCGCCTGGTCATGCTAATTTCGGATCATCCGGAGCACTGTACTAGTCAAGGGTGGTTGCCCTTGTAAGTACACTCAGTGTCCTCTGGATTTCGAAGTGAAAACATATTGGGTAAGAAGCAGTTACATGGATCCGACAAATGTTTGCCCGCCAATTTGTGGCCCCATTTCCTTGAGCCGCAAAAGCTAACTGAGTTCTTGCCGAACCCCTCGAAAGAGCCTCATTTCTCGGTCGGGCTGGGAGGGCTTGGGAGATGGATCATAGAGATGGCCCCAAGGTTCGGGGTCAAAGTGAGAACCTGGCCAGGTCAACTGGTTGCTGATTACTGGGACATACGATATCCCCAAGAATGTCAGAGGTTCAAGATCCAACCCAACAGCTGGCACGTTCTCTTTTCCACTAAAAACGACCAAAACCAAAACGTGACTCAAGCATCCTGAAGTCCAGAGACCTCAGACAGTAAGCCTCTGGCCCACACCATGCCGCTATTGTCAAAACTTCCTGTCAGTATGAAGTCCAAAACCTGGGAAGCAAACTAGCGCCCTGCTTGGCCAGGAGAAAAACCAAGAACCGGCACTCCTTCTTTTTCGCAGAAAGAAGGTTGAAAGGATTCTAGGGGTACCTTCCCCATTCCTTCTAGGGATCCATCTTTCTAGCAAACCTCGAAAAAGAACGATGGTTGAAAAGCATGGGGAATCAAGCCCTAGAAGTGTGGGGCCCACTGGAGGTCTGTCAGCCAAGGAACGTAGTCGCCCATGAAGACCAGAGCGCTCGCTCCGCCCGTCCAGGTCCAGGCATCCAGATCCACATAGCCACTTCTGACAGGCAGCGCACGGGTGTCTGCGTTTGAAGGCTCTCAAAATAGGAAAAGGTCACAAAACGGCAACGGCTTCCGCCAACAAATGCCAAAGAGTCCGGCATCTATTCTTACAGACTCCCATGTGTCTTTTTCCCCCGCAGAAAGTGTGGTCTTTGCCCAAAATGGAATAGGATCCGAAGCGTCTTGGAACCGCGGGCCAAGGCTCCGGAAGGGTAAATAAACACTTCCCTATAAAATCCTGTCAATAAACGTTGCTTTCCCCAACCGCCGGGTCCCAGTCCTACTTTTAGAAACCCACACTAAACTGTCGCCCAGCCCGACCCCAGCCTTATCACGGGGGTACTCCAGGGACCAATAAACACCAACACAAATCCGAGCAATTAGTTCCGGCCGTAGAGAATATTTAAAACTAGGGTGGGGGAGTGTTTACTATCAGGGGAAGCGAGTACAAAAGGTTTGCTGCTTGCAATGCCATCTGGGAGCGGTTGTGGAAGACTTTCCTTGTGGGGTACGCCCCCTATCCACTTCAATGCTTGTATGATTGTTGGAGAGAGCATGACCACTGTCCCTTACCCTCGCGAAATGACATGCAAGCAACATGCAACTGAGCCGAACCCGATCCCTACCAATTCCCAACTGGAGATCACGAGGCCCCCCTTGGCCGTGCATCCCCTTCCTATTACTGGATGTGAACCCTCCTCTGAGAAAGCTCTGGCTTTCCTTCATACGGGATCTGAAGCCAAAAAATTGTTGTGGTGTCCCTTCAGGTAAACGAAAAAAAACATATGTGCTAATGATCGCACTCTATTCAGAGCAGGAATTCCGGCGCCTGCCTTCTCACCCAATGCTTTGCACAGTGGATATCTGCGTGCAAGTCGCCGATGATGAATACCTCCTGCCAAATCATTAAAATGTGACTATAAAGTTATCCATGGGTAATCTTCGCGATATGCATTTAGCTATGAATATGACTAAGAACGTATACTAATTTACCAGTTCTCTTTGAACTGTATATAGAAAAGGGGGTTCCCTTGAAAAGGCACCGCATGGGGCAAGAAGGGCTCCTTATATTTCTTCACTGCGAAAGAAAACTCACTTTAAAAAGGCCATTGAAAGGAGGCGGGGCGTTTAATCGGGGGTCTGGAAACAAAAAGCAAAATGAGTTCCAGCCTCCAGTTTGCTTCAGGATGAGAAAGCAAGTTGGTTTGCCAGGCTGTTTAATTTCAATTTTTTGTCTGTCTTTCGTCTCAACGGCTGGCTGGGATATCGAGCACTTTCCTGTCAACCCTCCTTAAACAAATGCCATCAACCCAATCATACGAATGAAGCACATACCCTCCCACCAACCTGCACAGGAACCCCCCTTCGCAAAGGTCTGTGAACCAAACCACGTGGAAAATCATGAATTTGAAGGCTCCACATAATATGCTCTTTTGCCTTTAAATTTCGAAGGGGGTGACCCCATACGGGTGCTGAATAGAGGGTTTGGAAAGATTAAGCATCACCCATTGCCGTCCCCTTTTGGCTTCCATGTGAGAAGAAAACATGAATGAAAGCCCATTTGTAGAAACACCCCATTCCCCACCGCGCCTCAACCTTTGGGATGCGCTCGCCAAGGCCTGCCCCCCCATTTTGTGATGTCTTTCTTTCTTTCTTTTTTTTGAGGGGGTGGGGTAGCTTTCTGCCGCTGGGCTCACTTTTAAACGAGTGGACTGACCAAAACAGGTCCGAGCTGTTTTGTGAATCCCATAGTCCCAAGGATCCATCGGCTGGCTTGCAGCTCGAGGTCCCGGGGCTGCGGATACTTTCTTGAATTCTGACTGGGGGGTGGAGGGAGAAGCTCAAAATGTATGGCTATTGCCTCCTGGGCCAAAGTGAAATGACTGTGATCACTGTGTATGCTAGTGGAAGAAAACATACATATTCAGCCAACAGGATGAAAATCAAAGGCGGTTGGGTTAGCCACTATTTAGGAGGCCCCCTAGTGTGACACATACCAAACTAGCAGCCAAAACAACAAACGGGGAAAGAGGCGAGAATCCACCCACTGACGTGGGCCTCCTTTCCCAGATTCCCATAGGTCTTGCGTGAGAAATTTTTGTGGGCTGGGTGTTGGGTGGGCTGGGTGGGTGATGACCAGGTTTTCCCACTTCCCACTCCAACCAATGAACCATTTACTTGAGCGGATCTAGTTGAACAATTTGCAACGCATCTGACATGTGCCTTCTTTTTCTATCGTCAAACAATTGGCAGAAAACTGCCGCCAAACAGGTACTGAAGTACATGGAAAACAAGAAGGAGCCACGGCAGACATTGCCTTGGGGTGGCGAATCGTGTTCCTCCCGCACATTATGTTTACCAATACCACTCAGAACTTAACCAGCCCTCTTTGAAACCAAAAGGCACAAACAGGACCCCACTGGATCCAAATAAAAGAATTGGGTGCTATTCCTGGGCAAGAAGGCATTCGAAGCTCGTATTTGTCTTTTGGGGAATTCAGATAAGCTGATTTGAATTCTGGGGTGCCCCAGTGTTGATTCGCGCCTTCGTGAATCAAGAAAAACTAGGAGCGAGGGCCATGAGAAACATGGCCGGCATGAATCCAAAGAACAACTGGGGCGCCGAGAATCTAGCTGGAGCAGAGTGTTTTGATTGTTTGGCATCACCATTTGCTCACTCACGTGCTTGGTCGAGAATCTAGAAAAAGTGAAGACAAAATGCTAAACAAAAATAGCCAGTTTTGCTCAGGAACCAAAAAAAGCGGGTTCCCTTCGAAGCACTCCCTCCCAAACCCCCAGCCTACGCACGCCAAAAGCAACAGCTTGAGGCACATAGCTCAAGCTAAGTCAGGAAGCGGCAAATGCGCTTGGTGAATTTGCTTCTGGTGCTGTTCTCCATGCTCGTGGCAAAGCACCTTTGTGATACCAAAGTAGGGCATCCCCGAGACTACTTGACCACTTCAATTGGGGTTTCCTTCGTATCGCATTTGAAATGGGCCCGTCAAAAGCTGGTAAGTGTTACTTTTGTCTTGCCACAGCGTTGCCAATCAGTCGCCAAGTAGGATTGTTGCAAAGTAGCTCCACTTGCTGGTGCACAGTAGGGAATTAGTGAATGACCCCTATAAACCATCCCTTGTGGTGGTTTCCTTAAGGAAATCCCTGTGTTCATTCCCAAACTTTGGGTCATTGCCTACCTATCGCAGCAGCAAGAGAAAAGCATTTACCGCGCGTCAAACCACGGGGCTTCCATGAGACTAGTGTCAGCGTTGCACTAGTCAGAACTGGATGGCAAAGAGGGCTTGGGTCCATGCTCCATGCGTGGCTTCGGGCTAGTTTATATTTCAGCGTGTCTTTGCCCACCATGCCGGCTGCACGCAACTCAGCCGGAACATTGCGAATTTCACTGGTTGCGGTGCGCTGGAATCCAAACACGATGGGAACCCAACTGGGACCAACTGAGTCACCCGAAAAGCGGACGAGGAACTAGAACCAGTTTTGTTTTGCGGGCCAGGACCTTGACAAAAAACCAAATCTCGAAAAATACTTGGGAATTTTGAGGGCTCCAATAGAAATACAGAGGGAAAGCCGCCAAGTGAAGTGGGAAATTTGGCTGGAATCAATTGGCCGAGTCCGTGTTGTCAAACTTCCAGTTTCTCAAAATGACGAGGGTCCAACCAAGTTGGAAACCACAAGGGAAGTCCGTCATGTCAAATAAAGGGATCCATCCAGTTACACAGGGACACCAAAAGGCTACCAACCATATGGACCGATGGACCGATTGCTTTGAAAAGGCAAAGCAATTCTGGTCACGCAACGCCTTCCATCTGAAGCACAGCAAGCAATTAGCCATCGGGTTCCCTAACCTGAAACTACGAGGGCTCCATATCACTCGATCAACATCAATTGCAGCGTTGAAAACCGGTACCCAACACAAAGCTAAAGTAATAAGGGTACTAGAGCCTAATGCCTTTGGGGTCATGCCTTTGCTTTTGCCTGCACCAACAAAATGCATGCTTGATTCTTGGCAAAATGGCTAGTGCAGGAACTTCATGCGTGAGCGTTTTACTCCAAGGTGACCTCGACAAAATTTGTCGAGTTGTGTCTGTTCCAATTGAGATAGTCTTAAAATATGCGGACCCCCTAAGACAGGTATCCGGTTTTTGTCCTCTGCACCAGCGCATGAAGGGTGCCCTCAAAAAGGCACCCAAAAAGCGCAGCTCAAACAACTCAAACGTAAGCTGGTTGGCCTGAATGAAATGTTTGGACTTTCCTTTACCGCTAAAATGGTCCAAACCCAAAAGTGTAAATTCCAGAAGCCGAGGAAGCGAAACAATCTTAAGATCCACTACCCGGCACTGCCCAAAGGAAAATTCGGCACCCGTCAGTGGATCATGGAATCTGAGGTAGAAACTGGTTGAGCATCCCCGGTTGATTAGAAACCATGGAATCTGAGGCGGAAACTCAACAACCAAGTGATTAGTCAGAGTCCAAACTTTATGTCCACTAAAACAAAAGTTTCGTCTTGGGATAGTGGAAACCACCTTAGATGGTTCTCGCTGGTTTGCTTTAAAGGGAAAACCAGGGTTGCACACCAGGCCCCTGGCCTTGAAAGGGAAACCGAAAAACATAGCTGTTTGATTCACAGCGACTTCAACATGTCGCATGTCGCATGTCGCATGTGTCTAAAGCATTCCACAACTTGGTATGAGAGCAACCACTTTTTGCTGTGTGCAGGCCACCCACTAAAAAGTATAAGAACGGAGCCAAACAACTAGAAGACTCAAACTCATGCAAAGAACAGTGAAGCTCATCTTCACGATCCCCTAGATCATGGACCCCCTGTTAGGGGCTATGAGGGGGGGGCTATCCCTTAACCCAAAACGGCCTGGGCCTATCAACTTGGCTCCAGGGATACTAAGTCCTGTCCTCCAGTAGAGAGGTTAGGTACCCTTTTTTCTGTAGTCTTTTTTAGTAGGAGAACCCTCCCAAAAAAAGGGCACTACTGGGGGACCTAGGATAGTTCATAGGCCCCCAAACCTCCATGAGAGATGCCGGAAATGACTCCTGGGCTGCCTGCGCTCCGGGTCTGCACCCAGCGAGGCGCAAAGGGCATCTTTCACCTGAACCGCGGGCAAGGTGTGCCGATCCCCACGCCCAACGTGGAAAAAACGAGAAACAACTATATACAAGAGGAATATATAGATATATGTATATATTTATCGATTTATAGATTATATATATATATATACTATGAGCAACTAAACACCAAAAAACAAGATAGTTGAATTATGACCCGCCTTTCTCTAGGTTTCGTAGCCTGAGGTGTGTATATATATATATATGTATATATATTGATTGTAGTACAAGTACGAGGTACATAGAATACTGTGACACAGGTATGGTATAGGTATACTAGTACTGTATCTATATAATATTCCTGATAATATTAATATATATACCAATGCTATACAAGTATTATTCGTTTGAGGAATGAACCATGGGTACTTTTTAGCACCCGGGCAGGGGGTGCTGAATAGCACATAACTTTGAATTTACCCAAAGGGACAGCAAAAGGTTGTATGTGTGGACTTCCTATTTTAGCACCCCGCCCTAACCATGCGCGTCAGGGGACGCGTCCCCATTGGATGCAGGGGCATGCCCTCCCATCGTGGCTGGAGACGTGACCCCGCAAAACAAGGGGACCCAGTCGAAGCGGTCCCTTTTGCTCCAAAAACTGATCCTGGAAGTTGACATGGACCCAAGTTCTATCGATTCAATGGAGGAATGTTGGCCAAAAGGACCCAGCGCCAAGGTTTCACTAGCTGGGTAGGAATTTCATTCAAACCGCCTTCGGTCATCAAATAAGCGGGGCTTCAACAACTCTTTTTGACCTGCTGGTGCTCAGTAGGGCCCCAGGGATCGGGAATGAACCGGAAGAACATTCCCTTAACGGAAACCATATTGCTTTCTTGGGGATTTCTCATTCCTTGCCTATCAAGCCAGCAAGTTCAGTATGTTCCCCCCCCGAAAAGAAAATAAAAGTCTTATATGTTGAACTGGACTTAGGCACAAAGGCAGCTTCGGGCACCTGAAACGCTGCCCCGAAGGGAATCCCTATAGGTTCATTCCCAAACCTTGGCTCATTCCCACTGCGCACCAGCAAGTCATTTCAAGCCGTTGATGTTGCAAGACTTCTGAAACGACCAGATCTGGATTCCCTAAGGGAAACTTCTCAAATCTTCGTATGGCAGCGACAAAAACTACTTTGGTTGTTTTGCAACCACCCACTATAAAACAACAGAACCATACAAACATGAAACTCATGCGAACCTGTGCTGGGACTTCTTGTCATCCAACCATGGTTTAGGGTGCTCCCCTGCGATTTGCCTAGCCACATTTCGTAAGCATGGAACCAACACCTGTTCGTTGACTTGTAGAGGAAGCCCCTGAATGGGGCCCTCCCGTTTCGAGTTCCGTGTTCCGTTTCCAGGGGAGCAATCACCTATCTTGCGAAAAGTACTGTCCTGTTGTTTTCCTTTGCGGCATGCATTCAGTTCGTGATGTCCAGGGTTGGACTCCGCATTGTGAGTGCGGTCGATGGTGGCCTCTTGTAAACCACGTCCAACCGCCCAAGCATACTTCGAAGCCGCGAATTCTGAGAAATGCTTCGCATTTGTAGCTGTAAGGTCCTAATCTGCCTTGCCCCCGCCGGGCAAACAAATCTACGGTACACGCACCCAGCCCAACCTTCGATCTACGCAGCACCTGACATACTTTGAGAAAAGATACAACGGTACACGAATGCATCCACACAGGGCTGGACAATATAACGCATGAACATCAAGCATACCCTCTTGGCAACTTGACATTCGAAACGGACATGCTTCATCAACTATGCCACCGCCAAGCCTAGCGGTCATCTCTCAAACACGCATCCGCACTGCTGCGAATTTCTATCACTGCTCATGAGCCTGACTATGCCATCATAACACACCAAACAAATATCCTGAATCTTCCTCGCGGGCTCCTGTCAGATTGTCAAAGCCATCGCACACCGTTTACAAGGCTGCGCCAAATGGGCGCAAATCAACTCAGGAGACCCCAACATGGTGGTGTTCTTTTTGCTTTCCGTTTAAACCGACCTTAAAAAGGGAACCCGCAACAAGCACCACACGAATGTCATCACGGTCCAAACAGGTCCCATGTGCAATTGGCAACCTGTGTCCTCACTTCAGCACCATATCAGCGAGCTGCCGGTACTTGGTCACATTCCTCAGCTCACGCCAACGCCACTGCATAGCTCCAACGTAAACTGACCAGCTTGGAATCTGGCCCATACTTGGTAAACCTTAAACTGCACCCTCTTTCCACTAACTATGGAAAAGGCCCGGTATTGTTTTATTCGCACTTTTCAGCAGCAAGCGATGGCCTAGAAAACAGCTGCCAAACAAAAAACATCAAACAACCACCTTTCGAATTGGCCAAACCCAAGCAAAACCCTCCCACCCCAGCCAACTTCAACCCATTCATTTTCTCTGCCAAGCTTCCTCGATGATGCGCGCCCCCGCTTCCGCCAGTGTCTCCGGCATGCGCTTCTTGGCCGGCAACTTTGGGTCCAGGCCACGGGAAGCGCCAAACTCCTCCCGGGAGTCGCTCTGCGTCGTTTTCTTTGTTTTGTTTTCTCCCTTTCGGGGACACCACCAGGAAAACCCAAGCCATCCTGGGGGTCTTAACACCAAGAACGCACACACTGTATATCTATATATGTTATCAGCTTCCCCCGAGTTGGCGGTTTGGAGTAGCGGCTTGAAAGGGTTCCAGGGTGGGGAACCCATGTCCCATCAAGGAGCAGAGCTCCAAATCCAAATCCAGGCCATGAATCCAAAACTCCAATTGGTTCCCTGACGGCCTGGGGTGTCACGACCCACCCATATTTTCATGCGTCAAAGGGACTTGGACATGAACATGGAGTTAGTGTTTGTTTCGGTCTCCCTTCAAAATTGGTATCCTCAAAAGTTTGTTCAAGGGCTCCCAAGGTTGAGGGAGCTATGTTTGGAGTCTTGTGGTCGTGGGAGGAAATCCAATTAACGCCCGTACGATCAATAGGGGGGTTGATAACCATGCTCTGAGTATTACCCTCGTGTTGGGCAATGGGCTGCTTCCAACCCATTGCTAAAGCAACCTTCTGGCTTCTCGTTGGGGGCCCATCGTCTGGGTGTTTGCACAGATGTTGCACCTGGCCAAGGTCGATGCAATTTTGCCAGCTCGTATCTACTTCCAAGGGAATTTGGAAGCAACCAAAAGCATCTCAATTGCCCCCAAAAAGGTTGATTCTGGTCCAGATTCGTGAACGTTGAAACCCAGCAACTTGACATAGATCCCAGTTTGGAGGAACAAGCACATGGCAAAGAAAGAGCAAGCTACAAACAGCCCCATCCACTAGCGCGAAAAGAGAGCCCGAGCAGTTCAAATGTCTTTCTGTGGGCCAATTTCAGTCTATGCGCGAGAAAGGCCGACTATTTTTGGTGGCTGATTCTAAACCTCGCAAAAGTCTTCTAAACATGACGTGTGCAAGAAACGCCATGCTTCTCTTTCTTGGCCCACAACTGTGGTTGACAAACATGTCATGGTAGATTATGGTCCACCCTGACATTTAAATTCAACTTGGAGACCCCAGCCTTAAGGGCTTATCCTTATCCTGGCATAGAACCCCACCCTAGACCCACCCAGGGCCCTATGGGAAGTCCAATGCTTGTCCCGTCGAGTCCTCTTCAAATTTCGGCATCTTCTTGGCAGGAATGCCTCGCTCTGAACATCGTTACTGGATCAATTGAATCAATGCATGTTCCCCCCTCCCCTCTTGTGCAATATATGTGTATACTGTATATATATATATATGTGTATATATATATGCATTAACATATATACTCGCTCGCGCGTGCATTTGTGTAATTAGTGTAATAGCCTTTTCAAAACATGTAGTTGGTGTTGTGTTAATGTATTTATGTGTGGGCGTGTATGTGTGTGTGTGTATGTGAGTAGTTGTTTGTTTCTATGCATGCACGTCTGTATGTATGTATGTATGTATGTATGTATGTATGTATGTATGTATGTATGTATGTACACAATGCAGTGCAGTGCAGTGCAGTGCAGTGCAGTGCAGTGCAATGCAATGCAATGTATGTATGGCTTGTTCGATCTATCTATCAATCTATGAACGTGTTTGACAGTAGTGTTGTGTATGTTTGCAGTACGACTACCTTATTTGGTTCATTTATTTTGTTATGCTTCTGTGTATTCATGTGTTGTCTTATTTACTCTATGCATCTATCTATCTATCTACTTATTAATTTACTCATTGACTTGGCCAAACCCCTTGCAACATATGTCTTCTTTTTGATTGAATTTCAAGAAGGAGGAACGCCAGCAGTGGCAACAACCTCAAGCTTGGCCTCTGCAGAATGGCCGTGGGTTTTCAAACCAAAAGGTAAGCCAAGTCCGGCAATGCTTCGACCAACTCACTTGCACAATGGGCATGGATGCATGAAAGGTGATCACCTTTTGGTCAAAAGCATTGTCAGGTATTTTGGTCAAAGGCATTGTCAGGTCAAAGCTTGCAAGGCAGTATATACTCTTTAGTTAAGAGGTGTATAACCTCCATACCTCCAAAGCCACCGAATCTGCCCTTCTGGGATGATGAAGACGGGTTGCCAAAAGGGAAACCCACAAGGTTGCAAGGTCGATGTGCTTGAAATCTGAGCAAGCCTCAAACTATTAAATCCGAGTGGTCAAACCTCTCGCGCCTTGTGCCACCTTTTGACAACCGCCCATAAATGTCTGTGTTTCTTACCCCGCCTGCCTTTTGGACCTCAATACTAGCCTGTTTACGGTGGATGCCTTGCCATATAACACACCACAAACCATGACTAAATTTACCGGATTTCCAACTTGTTCCCTCGACATGTTCAGTGTATCCGCAGGCTTCCCAAAGCCTTGGTAGGATAGAGAGAAGCTGTGCCTTTTGCAGCCCCCCCAAAAAAATAAGAGAAAAACACATAAGCAGAACAGGAACAACAACTAAGCACTACCCTCCCCCGAAGCTTCCAGGACCCCTCCGGAAGACTTGGCTCCGTTTGCAGGATCGGCCTTCTGGGAGCTTCCGGCTGTTCGTCTGAGCGGGTGAAGCAAGATGCAAAAAAACTTAACCTAGGTGCAGGGGTTCAGCTGGAGGTCGAAGTTCCGCGCTTCTGGCGGGAGCTGAACCTACGAGACACGGAAAAGTTGGCCAAAAAGCTGTGTCTCAAAAGTAGGGACTCGGGCCCAATTGAGTGGGTCCCAAATCCTCGACCTGTAGACATCAATTTGGGTCTGACACAATCGGAACAAGGCGAGCAAGTCTGACCAGATGCCCGAGGGATGTCCCCAGCGTGGAACAGTTGATTGGCCTAAGTCTGAACTACAAAAATACATGAACTGGATGCTTCCAACTTGTTTAGGGCTGCTCGCCCGATATGTCAAGTTCACCATTCAAAGTGCCCTTTGTGCGAAAAGAGCGACTGCTAATGCCGCTGATGGTGGGGGGAGATGACACAGTTGCCAAAGGAGAAGCCGGCGAGTACGTAACACGTTTCCTGACAAACGGACCAACACAGTTTCGATTGGCAAATTCTGAAGGGAAACCGAAAGATCCCTGGGGAACTTCAATGGAACTTTCCTGGAACCTACCTGCGAGCGCAGACCTCATGGCTGTCGCTGACAATGGCCCAAAGAGATCGTTTTTCGTTTCGCTGAAGGGGAACTGGCACGTGTCCTACAAAAATATAGGCACAAACTGAAATCATGAAATATCATGAATACCTGACAGGCGATTACAATTTTCAATTTACCTCATGCATTCTGTCGGCTGACGGTGCTAGCCTCAAAGTGTAAGGCGAGCAATCCCACAAAGCAGCCAATCCATCATGAATCATGAATCATATATTTGCAACAACCCAAACGAACTCCCATTTTGGCTCAGAAGCTGTTGTAACAAGATCCCCCCTACCAGGAAGAGTGGGGTGAGGTCCTCCATTTGTCCGGGGAAATTCGGTCACCGCAAATGGAGATCTCCACTCGAAATTACCCCTCCCCCAAATTAGCCAGTTTTGAGGGCCTGGTGGGTATCCACAGGGACCACACAAGGCACGGTCTCGATGCCAGCCGCGTGTTCATCAAAATGGGATTCGGCCCCCTTTTGGTTGGTAGTCTAAGGGAAACCTTAAGGACAAATTTAAGAACTCATGATTCATGAGTGTGTGTTTTGTTTGGGGTCCCCTTTTTGGCGGTGTTTTTTTTGTAATTACATAAATGGAAACCAAAAGGAAACCAAGCATGTAGGGTCCTGGTCCATTGTTGAGACCACTCTTCTCACCTCCTTAGTGGAGTCAACAAAAGTAACCCGGAACTTGTTGTTTACCACCAACATTGTATGTCTTCTGGTTAAAAGTGGCTAAAGTCCGGAACGAAATTCAGGGAGTGACTGGCCCACATCTGGGGTGCACAGAAAAACCTTTGTTCTGACCCCGTTCCAGAATGCTGACCGCATATTAATCAACCTCACTTTATTAATACGGGGATGGAGGCCCCTCCAAAAGTGGTATGATTCCCCACTTTACCCAGGGACAGCCCCGTATAAACCATCCAACTTGTGGTTTCCTTTGAAGGAGACCCTGGGTTCACTCCATTTCTCTTTCTCTTTTTCTCGCAGCAAGAAGATCCCAGAAGCCTCTTTTTGGGGTCACCCGTCCGCGCCTTCATGGGCTCAGTGGCAGGCACAGCCATACCGTAGCCCGAGGGGTTGGTGGCCAACCTGGGCTTGTTGTAGCTGCCCCCGCAGCAAAAGGCCCAGAACTCAGCCCAGAAAAAAAATGGGTTGTTAGATGGCGTTAGACCTTTTGTAGGTTTAATGAAAAAGGCATTTGGTCCATGAGGCCCCGGTCTTTGGAACAGCTGGAGAACTGCGGCATAAGCTCGAACATGCTCGAATTCACATTTTTGAATCAGCTGGCCAACCTTTACATGACGTCCTTGTTTGTTGAGTACCCTTTTCAGGTGGGCTTTAAAGGGAAGCCAAATGGAACACCAGGGAGTCCGAATAGCCTGTTTTCTTGAATGTCCACATGTTTAAAAAAACCTCTTTGAAGGGATAAAGAGATCCGAGTCAGACGTTTGTTTCCAACCTGATTTCGCCAAGTTGCTGTCCTGTAAAACCAGGAGAGTAGACCTGATCCGTCGGCATGTAGACTTGATCTGCCGGCATGGAGGACAGCCTCAGAAAGCAACTTGCGACCGGACCTAGCGGCATACTCAACCCCCCAGACAAAACTCTAGAAAGCCATCATGTGTGGAGGAAACTCCTTTGGAGGACCCCTTCTTTTGGGATTTGCCGAAATTGTAACATGGTGTAGGTCAACCAATGATATAGCGGGTATATTTGTGGGGCAATCCAAAGCTGCCTGGCCCAAGGCTCTGCAGATGTTCATGGCTCGTCACCTCTTGGCACTTGCAAATTCGGGAACCCATGAAAAAGCAACAGGTCAACAGGACAAGGTGGGCGAAATACCCAAAGATCAAAACAAGCATGCCTCCGAAATCCTGAAAGGATACATCCAAAAAACACCTGCTTTACCAGGGGTCCTCCGGTATTTGGGTGATTTGTTAGCCGGCCCATACGCATGTTTTCCCAGAAAACTGTCAGCAATTCGGGCACTTTGATTCGCCTTTTTGCAGTTGGGTGACAGTAGCGCCACTTTGGTTTGGTCATCCCTTTCGCTCCCCCGCACATCTACTGGGAAATGTGCCATCTGCTGTCACGCTTGTGTGCGTCCGACCCGGCTCTACTTGAAAGCAAACGGAAAGGAAACAGACCACCTAACCACCCAAACCCCAGAAACAAAAGGAAAGGCAACCCCTGACCTGCAAGCCACCAAAACATACAAAGAATTAGCGGAAAGCTGAGTGTTGCAAAGGCCCTATCAGAGCTACCAATAGGAGGCCGTGTAAGTCCCGAACCAAGCCGCCAAAACAAACCAACCAACTGTAATGGGACCGTTTGATTCATAAACCCATGCTATTAATAGCAGAGCAGCACCCACAAAGGTGAAGGATTGCCACCAGAAGGGACACCATCAACCATGGGTTTGAGAATCCAAGGGGGTCCAAACCTTGGTACGTTAGCAAAAGTGCAGCAAAACAAACTTTGCTTTTTGCAGCCCCGCCCACTAAAAACGAATAGCACCAAACAACTAAAGAACCCAACAACTGAAACCACGTGCTGTTCGAACAGCGAAGTTTACATGTGAGCAGCAAGCTCTGGTGCATCCATTCGCCCATAGGAGAGGTGGTTGGAGTCTCGTAGAAGATCTCTTCAGGCTCCGAAGCGTGTGACCCCGCATCCGTCGTGTCAATCTCATCCAGGTAGTACATCCACTCCTCGCGTCGCTTTTTCCCCCGTAACTTTGGGACCCCGAACCACCATATCCTACCCGCAAAGGGATTGCGGACTCAGGACTTTTGAGGCTTTATCCCAACTCTGGGGTTGGCTGCAGAAGTGTGCCAAAGTCGGGGGCCCCCCACACAGAAACAAAAAGTCAGAGGGTTCCTTTGAAAGCCCTTGAAGCCAACATTAAGAAAAGCCCTTGAAAACAATTGTCATAGTACATCTCCTGGCAAGGGATTTCACTGCCGAAATGGTGCGGGCTCCTTCCGGCTTCCCTTTACATCGGTCCCCCAGCAAAAAGGGGGAAATGGCAAACACATGCGTACCTGCCAGACCAAGTAACAACTTTTCGTTTGACATTGCCTTCTCAAAAAGTGACAAAAGTCCCGGAACTCGGAGAGTGAGCATGGGGTTGAACGGGTTCAACCCCCCTCCTCCACCACCCCCTCCTGTTCCCCACAAAAACAAGGACCCATCGAGGCCACATGTTTGGAAGCCAGGGGAAGCAAGGGAGTGGGGGGTTATTGAGGGGTCCATGGCAACGCGGCTTATTCACAACCCCGCTCGGCATTTCCGGTGCGGCTCCTCCTGGCATCCTGTCATGTAGTCCTCATATGTGAACTTGGTGCTCATCATGTCCTCGCTCATCACGGGCATCCAGGTCGCCGAGTACTCCGAGTACATGGCTAAGTCGAGACGGGTGCTAGGCGACGGAACGGAACGGGAGTGCTAGACTCGAGGCGTCCTGCAATGAGGTTTGAGCAGAGCTGCGGAAGAGGCTCACGTCCTATCGAGGCCTGGCGCAATTGTTTGTCCATACTCACCAACAATATAGCACAGGGATTTCCCCGGAAATGGGTGAGCCAACAATTGGGGATCCATGTGAGCGCTAAACTGATTGCTACTGACTATGCCACTGAAATGGTCTTTCCATGGGGGAGTGAGGAGATGAAGCGACAGTTCGCGGTTCCTGGTGACACAGCCTGAAGCGAGAGAGCAGCATTTTGTGCTGCTGACAAGACAACAAATACATGTGTTTGGAGCTGGGTTTCGTTGCAAGGCCGCTCCGTCACGCAAATCATCATCGGATCGAATGCATCCGCAAGCCCACACTGTGCATGGCCGAGTGACATCTGATACCCGAGTGCACGTCTGCACCGGAATGGTGATCTCTTCATCCTTGCCTCAGCACGCAGACAACAGAATCGATTCCTGACGTGATTCCTTAAATAACCATTCGGGCCTTTTCAACTGGGGTCTTTTAAAGTGAAATGTGTAACTCTTCAAGGCTGCATAACATCCAGTTTGAGAGTATGACCAGAACTAAGGAATTTTCTGGAGTTGGGGTTCATCATCAGAGCACTGATCCATTGATGTGGGCATGCTGAGGCCTCTTTCTTGTAGGAACAAACTGAGAACACATGTGAAGAAGTTGGGAACAAGTTGGGAACATGTTGGGGCAAGTTGGGAAAACGGTTGGGACAAAGGTTGGGATGAAGTTGAGTTGGGAAGGGCGTTGGGAAAAGGTTGGGGAAAAGATGGGAGAAGGTCGGGAAAAAGTTGGGAAAAGGTTGGGAGAAAGTTGGGAAAAGGTTTGGAACAAGTTGGGAAAAGGTTGGGACAAGATTGGGAGCCGTTGCGAACAGGACAAAGCTTGGGACAAGTTGGGAAATGCTTAGATAAGAGTTGGGAAACGGTTGCGAACAAGTTGGGATGAGGATCATGATGCTGCAAAGACTTTTCTGATACTAGTGGAAAACCAGCTGCTGTGAGGGCCTTGTAGGGCTAGCACTGCAGTCCTTTCCAGTTTGCTTTTTTTAGGATTACCTGGGATTGAAGAGCTTCTTGTGGTTTTCTCTGGTTTGTTGTGCTTAAAACAGTTTCCAACTAGACCTTTCTTGAAACGGTATGACTGGTACGCCTTTGAGTGATGGGACAATAAACATAGTGGCACAGTCTGAGATGGCTTCCACTACCGGGGCCCAAGGAGAAATGGAGTGGCAAAAACCGTTCGCTACAGTGGCTACATACATAGTCGCTATTTACCGCATTGGAGGTAGTGCACCACACTACTCTTGGGACAACTTCACAACCCGAACTTGCGCGCCCCCCCCCCCCCCAATTTTCGAAGGGATGCATAGCTGAAGCCAGTCCAAAGGGTCTGGGAGTAGTTCTCCTTAAATGTAAGTAAAGTAAACGCAAAGGAAGGGTGTCAAATGAGTTGCACATTCTTCCAATTTGCTTGCCCCTGCTGTGAATATGACAGTTTGTGCTTTGCCGAGTTCCACATCCGAACAGTTTGCAAAGAGAAAGCTTCAGTTGCCAACAAGGTGCAAAAGCAAAAACTGGGCAAAACAATAAAGCAGCAACTGGGCAACACCTGCGACAAAACGTGCTTTTGTTTCTAAGAGGGCAACTGATGGCAATCCAAAATGAAGATTGGCCAGTCCTCTTTTGTTAACCCTACCAGGCCAAATAGGGGGAAAAAGGCCAAAGAAAGCCCAAATAGCTTGCTGGTGCCATTGAACATCCATCTGAACGCAGGATCCAATATTCAGTACCACATTTTTTGGGGAACCCTCCTTGGGTATTGTTTGTGCGACCATTTCCGATGCGACAAACCCCAGGTGTCCCTTGGTCAATATCTTCAAACGCCCCTTCCAAAGGACAACATCGGTGAACTTCATCGATGCCCCTTGCACTGGAGCCAGTTCAGCGGCAAATCACCCACCAAACACCGAAGGACAATTGGGGGGGGGCGGGCACCGACTGGGTGGTAGGGCCAAGGTTAAGTGAGCTTCCTTGTCCAACCGCTTCTATAGACGTGACATCTTTCTAAGGTCTGACCTAAATGGTGCTTTAACAAGGTTTCCCCAGGACGCTAATTTTGAGATCCCGTCCGGATCCGATAGGTCATTCCAGCTTTTGTGTCAGAAGGGGCTACCCCGTTCAAACATTATGCTGTCCCCTGCACCCGATGCATGCGCAGTATGCACACCGATTCCTCCGTATTTGGCTATTGGCGGCTGCCTGTGCAAACAGCATAACTGTTTTTGTCACTGCCGGGGAACCCGCAACAGTTAATGAGGGCAAGCTTTGGGGTAGGCAGGTTTTTTGACGAACCCTTCAACAGTAAGACAAAGTCTGCAGACCCTCCGGAAGGTCAGTAGGGGGGTAGTGGGGCTGCCAAATCTAGTTACTTCCATTTGCTTGAGCCTCCTGGAAAAAATACAAATCTTTCTACTAGTGAAATCGATTCAATTGAAAACCGCAATTTTGTGCAAAATAAAAATCATTTCAGGTGGACAGTTAAAAACAAAACGCAAATAGCTTCAAGCACTGGGATGCCCCGGCCGAAGATCCGCAAAGTGCACTTCTTGAAGGTGGTGCTGTACTGACGCCCCCGTGGCATGTTGCCTGCACAGCCCTTCTGTCCGGGCCGCAGGGGTCTCACTGGAATGGATTGGATCCAAAAAACAGCCCTTGCTGTCAGATTTGTTTGGCCAATCCACTTTGGAAGTGAGCAAACACAGTTGATCCCCCGAAACATTTGGCAGGAGGGCTGACAAAATGTTCAGACTTGTGTCCCTAAGCTTCAGGCAAATGGCTGCTTTCCCATAGGGCCAGTGGGCCGAATGGAGCCGAATAGGATGCTTCGTTTGGCCCTTGACGGAGTTTACCACATGCAGTTGCATGTCTTCTTCGCCTTTTACAGGTGGCAAAACGTGAAACAATAGAATACACATTTTGCATCAGGGCCCAACTCTGATCATTAGGCTCACTCCCTCTCCTGGAAATTAGACTCCCCGAATAACTCCACCCAGTAGGGTTCAAGTCAATCATGCGGCAACCGCGATGGTTTCGGCACGCCACTGGCATCGCAGAACGTGACAACCCAAGAGCCAACCATCCAACATGCGTTCCGTGAATATGGGATTCGCACAGTGCGTGGGGGGGAGGGGAGAGGTTTGAAAACTGGAGGGGGGGCTGGGGGAAGGAAGGATCACTTGCAGGCGTTGGCTGCCTGCAAAGCTTGCAGGTCCTTTGGGTGAGGCCTTGTTTGGAGGAAACCACGCGGCAAGTCAAACGAGGGGAGGAAGTGTGACTTTGTGCTGAGATTCGCGCAAGCTGGTTCTCCACAGAGAGTTCAGTTCAGACTTACGGTTAGGCGGCCCCGGCCAAAAGACACAGAGCCTCAAGCTTCCGAGCCGCGAAAACAACTGCCGAAGGTCAGCCCGCTTACGAAAGAAAGAAGCAACACAAATAAACAACAAAGCAACACGCCAAGAGCAGAGTGAAAGAAGGCGCGGGCCGGAAGAAGGTCTTCCATGGGGGGCCCTTCATGTTCAACGCGTGTCTTGCAAAGCATGTTATTCTGGCCCGATTTCAAACGCAGTGAAACATGGGCCTCATTCCGTGATATGGTCCCTTTGGCTGCTTTGACACTTGCGAGCCGAACAAGTTTCCGTGCAAAACCCCGAGTTGCTCACGTCAATTGTTCAAACAAACCCCTTGGTACCACAGAACATGGTCTTCCACGTGCCGCCCTCGAATGGTGGGACAACGAGCCTTGTGGCACCGCCTGCCACTCTGGATGAAATACGTGAAGACCTCAGCACTTGCACTACTGCAGAGGTTGGAGACCCAAGCACACCCCCCGAAACACACTCTCATGGAGAAAGCTGAAACAAAGAATGGAGGTGTGTGTGTGTGTGGGGGGGGGGGGGGAAGGACAACTTTATGACCACCCTCCCATCCATGAACATGGAACCCATCACAGGTCTCTGTCAACAGTAAAGATTTCAAAGTGCGAGCTCCCGTGCGGGGCCGGGAAATGGCAGTGCTGTTGCCCAAAGTTTACCTTGTTTAAATTCACATTCTTAAGGCTAGGGTGTTCAGATGGGGATCCCCACGCCCAATCAGCAACCCGCAGTCAAACGCACAAGGGAAGCCATGACCATCTGCTTGCGGATTCAACTTGAACCTGCATCCTGAGTGGATTGGCCAGAAAAGTCCAAAATGTCTGTTTGCCACAATCACGGTCTTCTCAAAAACCCTCACCTTTAAACTTGGTGGACCCTTTTGGATGTGTTGCCAGAAAAAACAAAAAAAACAAGGTCAAAAGGTTGATATGGAAGAGTGAGTTCAAATCTAGGAGCTCCAAAAATAATCCACCAACCAAGCACCACGGCCTTACGGAAGCCAAATATCCACGCCAAGGCTGGCACCCATGCTGGACATGATGGCCATTCGCTCCAAAGCCTGCGAGGTTCCAACTAACGAGCCGGTCTATGGTTTCCAGGCGGGATACCCAGCCACTATGACGGGAAAATGCCCCTTTTCCCTTTCACTGGAACGAACCGGTAGCCTTGGCCCACATCAGGGGTACTCGCAAAATACTGTGTTCTGTTTCTGCTTCATATGTAGCCTTCCCTGACTTGGGAAAAGCTTTGGAGGCCCCAGTACCTACCTCCACGCAAGCATTTTCCCCAATGTGTTTGTGTGGTCCATCTGTATCCCAAAAAGTGCCCGAGTCCGCGCATTGCGCTCTCAAGAGACTTGAGACCCAAAACCGAAACAAATTGCTCCTTTTGCTCCGTTTTCCCCATGTTCTCAGCCAGACCGAAACTCACCGTCCCTAGGGTGTCCTTTTGAGAAACAAAGGTTCAAAGGTTTGCAGCTGCCAACCCCTGTACCAGTGTCCAGTTGACCCGAAAGGTAGAAAGGCAATTGGAACCGGTTTGGGGCTTGGAACTCAAACAAAAAAGT